ATACACGCAGATTCAGTCATTGCTAGCAGTACAAATGGACAAGGTGAAATTTTTCCTCTCGCGCGCGTAAAATGTAATAAGGATGAAAGCTTTAAGTTGAACGGCATTTGAGTTTATAATTAAGTCTTGTGAGACAAGGTGCAAAACGGACAGACGATTACGTAAATGGACTAAAATGGTAACATCACGAATCGACAGCCCGTTTCCGTTGTTGTAAAAACTGGTCCAGTTTTTATTATTTCAAAGGAGATCCCACAAGTTCTGGAGTAAAGGAGCCAAGGGGAGGTTCTCCGATATCATTTAGTTTACTTCATTCAGTTCAAACAGTCATTTTCGCGGGGTTTAAGATTTGAAACCTCATCTTGCAAGATGATATGTGTGCTGACTTGAACTCAAAATCAACTGCACAAGCGTTTGATTACTTTCTAGTTACCAACCGAAAAATGTATCGAAGACCCTTTGCTCTAAGAAAGGCTTCAAAAGTCAGTTCAGAGGAATGTCGACAGTTTTACATTTTATCAACGGCTCTTGAGTTTATCATACCAGTGACTTGGAATAATAAAATAAGCTTGAAACCTAAAAACAACGATTAAAGTGTGACTTCACAGTGTCACCGTACACCATTGATCTCGGTGTCTGATTAATACATGTCTATATAAATGTGTATAAAAAAGGCTTTTTATGCGAAGTGGTAAAAAACGAATAAAATTGATGCTATTTATAAAGTGCATCGTTCTGAACTGAGTAATATTGTGTCGTGAAATAGTAAATTTCACACGACCTTACGTGACGTCACAATTCCATCTCTGCTTTATTATATGTTTTAATATCATAGGTGACGAATTAATCCTTTATTTTGGCGCGAAATTTCAGCGTTCATTTGTAATTTCAAATTGCCATGGCAACCTTCCGTACGTCTCAGTGTCAAGATGGCTACGAAGTTTTAAAATGCCGTGAATGAAGATGTCGGGGCACAAAAAGACGCTTTAGAAAACTGAACACACAAGAGAACATAAAGAAGGATTCTAACAGGTATTTTGTCGAAATAGTCTGAAAAATTCTGAACTTTATAAGACAAATTTAAGGTCTAAACACTTGAGAGAGTGTGAAGTTCTTGATCGATACGATCCAGGATAAACATGTCAAAAATCCAAGATTGCTAACGTAATTCGTCACCCATGATATTAATAGGTAATCAAATGGTATACTCGTGAAATTAGGGAATAATTTCACTCTTCACCATTTGACTACACATACTAATTCCTCCTCATGGCGTTCACATAGTGATTAGCGGAGAAAGAGAGAGGAACACGAGAGACAAAACACAAGAAAAGTGGAGAAGCAGTAGAAAGGAGAGGAT